TCGAGTGTATTGACGCACAGAGATAGAATCAGAGAGCTTGTTTTGACATTGATTGAATGCCATGAGAGGCCGATTGGGGTGAAACCACTGACTCACTGTCTGACTGTCATCAGATGTACCTATCTGTCACACATCTGTAACAATGTGGCACACCCAGAGTACAAATGACGCTTTCATGGCAACTTCCAGTGCGCCGACACTATATTTTAAATGCACTAAAAATGTCATGCTTAGGTCAGAAATATGTTGTTGCAATACATTTTTGTACATACTGTTACAATGTTTCACACATACTTTATTGTCTACATTTGTTTAATTTTAGAGTTTACTGAGAGATCGCAAAATGAGGGAAAGGAAACAAGAGAGAGAGGGTCACATACCTGCACTCGGACAGCGAACAAACAGAGCACAGAGTGATCTCTCGTGTTGAATTGCATGCATGCATCAGTGCTCATGCAGGCAGAATGCATTATCCTAAACAAAGCTGTGCCACATAATACTGAAGTATGTTTGTGAGCTATCTGAAAATAAATCTGTTTGAGAGGGAAAGGGGTTTGTGGTTTATGCTTGAGGTGTGGATGCATCTGGGACGTTTGCTGTCAGCGTGTATCAATAGCAGCTGTACCGTCACTGTCAATAGTTATCACATCTCATCTCACACTTAGTTTAGTGACTGGTATCTCTTTCTCTCGCTCTCTCGGGTTCACTCTCTCTCTCTCTCTTATCTTTTTCTTTTATACTGGGATTGCACACCATTCAGAATTGAATAATGATTTGAGTTCCTAAATCTGAATTGAGGCAGCAAACTGGATGCAAAACTATAAATCTGAATGGAATTTAACAAAGTAGAATTAAAATGGGATGAAATGCATATAACTGCTTTAAGTCTAAATTTTAATAATACATCATTTATATTTTTAATAATACATTTATTTCTTTATTTATTCATTTATTCATTAATTCATTCATTTATTTGTTTGTTTGATTTAAATTTAATAAATTATCGTCCATTTTATTGATCATAGTGCAACACCAATTTGTTCTCAGAATGCTCTAATTTATTTTTGGCAATATTTAATTTTATCAAGTCATCTGAAAACAATGTGGTGGACTTTTTGTGGTGCTGTATGGCAAAATAAAATCTGTATTGAAGGATGTAGACTGAATGAAAGTTCAAGAATAGATAAAAAAGCTATAAATATGAATTGAATTTAGTGAAGTAGAATTAAAATGAAATTCATATAACTGCTTTAAGTGTACATTTTAATAATATCTCATTAATCCTATGTACAATTAATATTGTATTTATATTTATTTATAAATTACATTTCATTATATATATTTTTATTTATTGGGCATAGAAGGACAATTTGTTCCCAGAATTCTCTAATTTATTTTTGTCAATATTTAATTTTATTAAGTCATCTAAAAACAATGCGGTGGATAACTTTTTGTGGTGCTGTATGGCAAAATAAAATCTGTATTGAAGACTACATGAAGGTTCAAAAATAGAAACAAAACTATAAATATGAATTTAATTTAATGACATAGAAGGACCATAGAAGGGCAATTTGTTCCCAGAATTCTCTAATTTATTTTTGTCAATATTTAATTGTATTAAGTGATCTGAAAACAATGTGGTGTAATTTTTGCGGTGCTGTATGGCAAAATCAAATCTGTATTAAAGACTGGAGACTGTATTTAACTAGTTCAAGAATAGAAATATTAGAGAAATGTTAAAGTTAAAAAATATTCTGCAGTACAACAGATAATTCAGCAAATTTAATTACAGTATGTTACAAAAATACAAATCCTCTGATGGAAATTTCTTGTTTCATTCAGTATGCTGAGAAAAGCCCATTCAATTAAAATTACGACTCATACATTGATATCAAGCCAATTCTCAGATTCTGATTTTGCCCCACCTTGTTTCACACACTGATTTTCTCATGATTCAGCTATAATGACAGAGCTTCGTGTGATTTTCATCTGTCAGTCAGGTGTTGGGAGGTGTAGCAGGTGCTCACACCCAGACTCAAGAGAAGCTTCAGGGCTTCAACATCATCCAACAATCAATGTTCATCACCACAACAAGAAGATCAGGATTTTTATTTCTTATCAACTGGGAGTTTTCATGACACAGTCACCACACCAAAAATATTATTCACAATTACAATACACAAAGTAAAAAAAAAAAGAAAAAGAAAAAAAAAGTGAAACATAAAAATGAATATTACTTAATTTTAAATGGTAAAGTTGATGAAAAATTAAATATACAATAAAAAATAGTAATAAATAAAGTATTCAAATCTTAAAATAATGAATGAAAATATATATGCTGTTGAAAATTGTTCTGCTATATAGAGCGAAAATTACATTTAAGCTAAATAAAGGTACAAAAGCTGTCACCGGGGTGGTACCTTTTCAAAAAGTAACTTTTAGGTACTAATATGCACACTTTCAGTACTAATATGTACCTTTAAAGTACAAATATGGACCCTTTAGGTACAAAGGCGTACCTTTTGAAAAGGTACCACCCCAGTGACAGCTTTTGTGTCTTTTTTTCTGAGAGTGTACATATCTCCACTGAGAAGACCTTGTGCAGTTTTTGGCATGCGTGAAGCACAACTTTTAAGAAAAGGGTAAAATATGGTCAGGGGGTGGAGACTGGAAATGTGTACATGCTGTTCACCTGAGGCCTGGGTGCTCCTCGGGACATGTGTCACAATAAACATAGCTATTCAAGACAAGCTCCAGGGTGGGTGAACCAGTGTGGAAACCATCCACCTTTGCTGTTTAAGTCATTGCCATGGCTATAGAACATAAAGAGACTCTCTGAGGACATTCCCTTAATAATTTCTGCAATTTCTGTCGACTGGCTTGATGTGTTTCATATGGCCTTCATTGCTCTGATTACTGTGTTTTACTATGGACACTGCCTAGTTAGTAGACAGGCTTTACAAGTAATTAACATATATCAATTGCTAATTCGGTTAAATTTTAGACACGATTCCGCCTATTTAATGACAATGAGCTGTTCTTTTAAATGCCTTTGAAGACATTAAGACGATTAATGAATGTACTGTTTTTAATGATTCAGACCTAAATGTCCCTATAGGCCAATTATCAACTAACTAGTTCTAATACCGTTAAACTACTTACAAAAAACAACACTTTTTAGTGTCATTCATGAAGTGCACTTGCATAAATTAGTGACCTAACTATACAAGATGTCAACGGTTTTTATTTACTCTTTTCTGTTGATCATGGATGTCAGGGCACTTCTTCAACATCTATTTGTGCTGTAGTAAAATAAAGGTTGTAAATGTATAACAGTTCAGCGAGCTGTGCACAATAGTACAGACTCAACACTTACTGACGGGGCTCTGCCAAATTCCTTTCCACCCAACCCAACCCATCCTCCACCTCCCCTGCACACAAACACCATCATATTGCAACATGCTCATCTCCAGGCTGTTGTGCTCTAAACTTCCACATCAACACATTACAGAAGGGTCTCAAAACATGACAAATGAACTCCAGAAACAAGAAATTCAACTTTTCTGTGAAAAACAATACCTGCCTTTGTCCATTGTTTGCCACTGATCCCCTTTCTCTGTCTCTCTTATCAGTTTTTCTGCAAAAAAGGCTGACTAGTTTAGAAATTGATGCTGTCTGTTATGTGGCCAGAAAGGATATAAGCAAATAAAGTTGCATACTTCAAAAAATATGTTAAAATAACGGTGCTTTACATAAAAGGGTAGGAAATAAGGCCTAAAATGTTTAGAGTCAGTGAGAAATGATGATAACCAACTTCAGGAGGTCAAACTAAATATTATATGAGCTGTTTAGTTTTCAATACATTTTACATTAGATTTTCCAATTTTGAAATAAATAAATAAATAAATGCTAAGTTGTGTGATTTTTTTATCTTCTAGCAATGGGGCAAATTATACTGTATGATAACAATGTTGCACACATTTTGGATAATAATGTTGGTTTTCATTACAGTTAATTGACATTTAATTCAGCAGACTGTTGTATGATTTTAATTGGTGGAAAAAGTCAACAAGGCCATAGTCTTGAAGGTGTCATGGGCCAAAATCTTGAGGACCTTTTCATGAAAAGTAAATGTTATGATCAAATAATTTATCCTATTTATCTTATAGTTTGCACAACAAAAACATTAGATCTGAGGCTCTAATGTTAAAAAAAATAATACATTTTAACACATTTAAAGGGCTTAATAGTGTCGTAATTTGAACACTTTTCTTATGTTGCTCTCATAAATGTCCCACATTCACTTGCTCAGTCTGAGTCACTCCCTTATCAGTTTCAACAAGTGAAGAAGTGTTTTGGTTGAAGCACATCCTGTCCATTCCTGTTGTCTTCATTTTTGTTTAACTCCCAATCCCTTTCAATTCCTCGCAGCAAAACTGCATTCTGTGAGACTTTAGGTCAACAGGTCACATATTTTCACTTTTAAGGCCTATGCACCACAGTTATCAAGCGGTGAAATACAGAGCCACACGCTTGACCAGGTAGTAATTCAAAACGAATAACATGTGAGTGGTTTCAAGCTGGGACATTTTTTTTTTTTTTAATTGGGCTTAATTGGGCTTATTAAATGCAAAAGTTGTAAAAAGTTTCTTTTCTTTGCTAAATGTGTAAATGTGATGACTGTCTGTATAATCACCAGTACCTCCTGCACTCCACCCAAACAGATGCATTAATAATCATGTCTGAAAAGTCAGATGGTATTACGGGTAAATGTCTGTTCTGTTAAAGTACTATCCTGCCGAGGGCTTGAGATGTGTTAATACTGTGTAGTTGGCTGCATTGCTCCACTGATTAGTGAGCGCGTGTGATGGTTACTGGAGATTAATTGAAATTAAAGCTTGATTAATATCGTAATTAGGTCCCCCCCCCCCCCCCCCCTCTCTCTCTCTCTCTCTCTCTCTCTCTCTCTCACACACACAAAGTCAGAGGGAGTTTCAGGGGGCAGTTTGGGGTGGAGTCTAAGCCTTCCAGAGCTTCCCAAGCTAAGGAAGTCAGGGACAAAGCATAGTTTAACATGTTTAGTACTCAAGACTAAACATTCAGTCCCATTGATATAAAAAGTGAGAGGCTGAGGCTCTGCCACACCCATATTAAAGACTTCAATGGCATGAGAGCCGCACCGCGCCCAGAGGACTTTATCCGAGCACGTCTGTCAGATACACGCAGTGTAACGTTAGTGGAGTCCAGAGAAATCCAACACACACACACACACAGCAGGATGTATGAACGCGCGCTGTTCGCTCTCTGCCTGCTTACTTTGGTAAGTTAAAGTTACGGTTGTCAATTGTTTTTTGTTTTTTTGCTTTTTGTCATTTTATTTTAGGTCATTTTATATAAGTTTATCGTAGGCCTACCTGAATTCTTGCCGTATCCTTTCCTATTTACCTCGGTAACCATAGTTTCCGTCAAATTGCTAGTTAGTTGTTATAAAATGTGCAAAATGCGAGTTATGAGCCTGTATTGCAAAGAGCATTTTATTAATCGATATTAATTAAAAAAATATCTAAACACCCTTAAATCAACATGAGAAAACATGTTTTTTTAAGATTATAAGAGAGTAGCCTACTTGCTTTTAAATATGTTGGCATAGACGTCAATTAATTTTAGGCTAACTGAATATAGCCTACTAAACTACTATACTTTTATCACATTTTTACAGAACAACAAATAGGCCTGGTGAATTTAATGAATGAAATAGTAAATTCTTCTGCTTTTTAGAATATTTCTGTGATTTTAATTTCTTATTTTGTCACGACAGTGGTGGTAAATACCATGTGATCACATTTTATTATAGTCAATAACTAGTACTATAGTACTATGGTAATTTGGTGGAATCTGTTTACCATGGTTTATATTTAAGTAAGTTTTCCCCAATGATAATAATCAATTATAAATGGATTCCCCCTTACCTTTTTCCAAACAATTTGGAAATGATTTAGATTGGATATTGGTTAAATAAAATAAAATAAAATTAATTAGTTAATTGGTTGGATATTGTGTGTTGTAGCTTTGAAAGGGATTCAACTACTTGAACATTACTATGGTGATTTGGTGGAAACTATGTTTACCATGGTTTATTTTTAAATAACTTTCCCCCAGTCATTATAATAAATTATAGATAGATTTCCCCCTACCATTTTCCAAACTATTTGGAAATGATTTAGGGTTGGATATTGGTTAATTGTGTGTTGTGGATTTCAAAGGGATGAAACTACTTGAACGTTAACTGTTTAGAATAATGAAGTCCTCACTAATTAGTTAGCCTATCTGCATTTGAATAGCCTGATTGATTGTTTTGTTTTTGTTTTTTCCATCAAACAATTGTGTTGCTATGTTTGCTTAGTATCATCCAGGGCGAAACTAAGCTGCTGACCAAGTAAATCAGTTCTAAAAAAATGTTAATTGATTTGTTTTAAAGAAACCATAGTGCTATTGTAAATATCTTCATTCATTAATTTATTCATTCATTAATTGATCACTAATGTTGACTAAAAAGAAAAGTGCTATCACCTAGCTGACTGATGTTCACTGGGTGGGTCAGTTACACTCTTAAAAATAAAGGTGCTTCAAAAGGTTCTTCAAGCGATGCCATAGAAGAACCATTTTTAGTTCCACAAAGAACCATTCAGTCAAAGGTTCTTTAAAGAACCATCTCTTTCTTACCTTTTTGTAATCTGAAGAACCTTCTTTCGCCACAAAGAACCTTTTGTGAAACAGAAAGGTTCTTCAGATGTTAAAGGTTCTTTATGGAACCATTTAGACAAAAAGGTTCTTCTATGGCATCGTGAAGCACCTTTATTTTTAAGAGTGTATTTAGATTTTTTTAGTGATGGATTCATTAAAACCTGAATGTAAGTTTTAAACTGTGTGATTTCCTGATATTGTTCAGGTTCATACACTGTGGTATATTTGTATGTTTTATTGACTTATGTTTATTGACTCCATTGTTGGTGTCAGTAAAAGACGCATGAAGACAAAATGACAATAAACCTTTAAGCATTCAACTAAAGAACAATTTATTTTCATGTATTTTCAAGTCTTTAGCTCTACAGGTTCTACTGGGCAGATTAGCCTAGTTTGGAGATAAGATAGAGCTGATATGAATATATAACCGAAACCCATAACATTACACCATATATTGAGACAGAATACCATATAACAGTATGTAGAGTACTTGAAATCTGCTTTGTGTCTTGGCTTATGGTTAATGTTTCCTTGATAGGGATTTTGTTTAGCTATGTTCTTATTGTATTTTTATTAGCCACAGTTTCCCATGTCATTCTTGAGCTATGCAAGTCATTGTTTCGGTCCGTCGCTGTTTGTTTGCCGTGCACAAACAAAGGCACTGGTGTAATGCTTTCATGTAGCTGTTTAGGACTGAATGTAACAATCGAGATAATGTGAGGAGGTTTGCTGTGTAAAACAAGAAAATAAGGTGCTGATTAATAATGGTTTTGCGAGTCAAACACTCCTATACAGTATCCTATATTACGACAATAAGGAGTATATACTGTATTAAATGTTTTAAAAATGCATTGTAGTTCATACAATTAACATGAATCTGATTATCACACAATCCCAATCCTCACCTGATTCATTAGGATTAACATTTGAAGTCATATGTTGTTTCAAACTACATTACTCAGGTTTTGCTCAATCACAGTGGGGAATGCAATACTCCCTTGATTCTCCCTTTCACTCGCTTTCAATTCCTCCCTCAGGTGTTGTTTCAGAGCGCTGCGTCTTGTGAGTTGAGGCCTGTGCTTGCTCAAGTGCCTAAGAGGCTGCCCGCCGGTTATGTCATCTCCGAAAGCAAGGAAGAATGTAAGATTTGTGGTTTCACTAAGCCTTTTCATGTCATGAAATGAACTTTTATGCAGACTAAGCTTTTCCTTCATTTGATGTTGCTAATTAGGCTACATAACATGACGTTTACATAAAGATAATTAATGATAAAAGAATTTGTTCTTCCAAAAATGATAAATTCTGTCATCATTTACTCACCCTCATGTCGTTCCAAACCTGTGTTTTTCTAATTTATGTGTTATTACATTTTTTTTAATTATATTTTGGGGTAAAACATGACCCAGAGTATTCTTGACAGGCTTTATGATATTTTCCTGTATGTTTAAAGTGAACTCGTGGTCTAACGGAGAAATGCAGTAAATGATACTAAACCGAACCTGAATATACTGAAAGTGAAATTGTATTTTGTAGTGTATTCAATCATATTTGCATTCTATTTTTCAGGTACTGTAATAGGACAAGTGAATGCCACAGATAAAGATCAGCCAAAAACCCCCCACACCTTGATCAAGTTTACTCTGCACAACGCTACTGATATGTTCTCCATTGATCCTTTTACCGGAGTAATAACTGCTAAAACTAACACCTTAGACAGAGAGGTATTTTTCTGGTTTTGTGTTGTATCTACAATGCCTTTCTGTATCGTGTATACAGATGATAGAGTATGCCAATAATGCAAATGTTTTTTGTTTTTTTCTCTCAGGCTCAGGACAAAGTCTATGTTGAAATAGAGATCAGAGATATGGGCGGTGCTCCTAATGGGCTCTTCAGCAGAGGAACAGTTGTGATTACTCTCACAGACGTTAATGATAACCCTCCTACCTTTAAAGAGAAGTTGGTAGGGCCCTTTTATTGGCTATACAGCAATAAAACAAAACAAATAAACTACTAAACCACTCAGGAGATGAACAGAGTTGCATAGCTCTCATCTTGAGATATTAAGATACTTAACTAACATCGATAACTGAAAGGCTTTATGTTGTAAATTGTGGTATTTGAACTTTAAAAAAAAAAAAATATATATATATTTTTTTTGGAAACAGTACAAGGCCAGGGTTCAGGAGAACCAAGAAAATGTGCTAGTTACTAGGATACCAGTGGAAGATAAGGACTTGGTTAACACCCCCAACTGGAAGGCCCTGTTTGAGGTCACAAAAGGAAACGAGAGTGGGAACTTCAGGATGGAGACAGACCCCAAAACCAACGAGGGGCTTCTGTATGTGATAAAGGTGAATGGTTTTAAAGGCATTAAAATAATAGTCTGTACAGGAAGTTATTTTGTGGAAGCATCTGAAAATCACCTTTTTGGCAAGAAATAGACCCCAGATGTCTTTGATGAATCCGTTGAAATTTCGCTGAATTTGCCCTTTGCTAGTACGTTCTAGTAGCGATAGCTTCCACTGAGGGTCACAGTCATTATCTTGAGAGCTCTCTTCACTCTCTGACAGGGTTGTGTTGGTTTTATTTATAGAGGCATTGCAGGGTTAGCTCACTATTTTAGAGCTGTGTGTGAAAACGCTTGTCTGTTCGATATGCATGTGCGGTTCAACCACACCCTGTTATATGAAGTACATCCATCAGGCAGGCAAACACAGGTTCTTCTCTTCAAGGAGAATTCAAGGCAGAGCTTTTGACAGCTCTTCACGGTATAGGCGCTTTTGGGTGAAATAAGCAAGTTTTATGTAGATGCACTTGATTGTTTTCATTCCTCTTCTATAAAAGAATTTGTTCTTCCAAAAATGATAAATTCTGTCATCATTTACTCACCCTCATGTCGTTCCAAACCTGTGTGACTTTTTTTTTGCTTCTATGGAATGAAAAAGGACCTTCAAATAGTCACAAAAGCAGCATAAAAGTATCATAAAAGTCCAAATGAAAAAGAAAAGTCAACTGAATGGGAAGATTATCAGTGAATAATGATGGAAATGCATTGGTTACTTAAACAAAATAATCATATTGCTTCAAAATACTTTTTTATGATTTTATGATACTCTATTTTACCATCACTATTATGTTTATTAATATTTTAAATAAGCTTTTATTTTTATAGTCTGTTTTAATTTTAATTTTAAATGTGTAGTCATTTTTATATGCTTTTGGCATTTTTATTAGTTTTTGTTTGATTCCGTTTAGCTTTAATTTTAAAGTTTTAGTAATTTTAGTACTTTATTACTATATTATTTCAGCTATATTTCTAATGTTCTTTCTTTTTTGTATTTTTATTGCTTTATTATTTTATATGGATAGTAAGTTTTTTTCATACTGGTGATACTTTTATGGTGCTTTTGCATTCTTTTTGAAGCTTGAAAGCTTTAGTGATATGATACTGTGTGAAAAACAAGCAATAGATTCAAACTGCTTTTGTTTTTGGAAAGATACAAGGCTTAGCTGTGGAATAATTACCTGTCATTGTTGTATTTTGTCACAGTGAGTCTCAAAGGCTGTGCGGCCAAACCTGTGGCCTTTACTTCCAGTGACCCTGACTTCGCTGTGAATAGAGATGGAACCATTATCACAGTTCATGGTTTGGAGATTACAACAAAGCGGTTTTCTGTACTGGTGCAGGATGAGAATGGAATGGATTGGAGGGTGGACATAATCCTGTCCTGTAAAGATGAGGTAAAACTACAGCCTGTAATTCTTAGCTATAAACCATATGATCTGGATCAGCAGCATGACAAATGCTTCTCTATATGTTCTGGCTTCAGGCATCTCAGAAGTCTAGCAGTGTGGCTCGCAAGCGTACTAAGAGAAGATGGAGACCGTTGCCTTTCTCTTTAGTTGAGAATGACAAGCTTCCATTCCCAAAGGAACTGGAGATGGTGAGACCGAGTAACATAAGCTATATCTCTACTTTAGTCAATCCTTTACTTCCTTCCTGTTTCCTCGTCCATTCCATGATCTCAGTTTGACCTTTTGTTATATTTCCTGTTTTCTTATGCTCTCTGACACATTGCTGTGTTCATCTTTTCTCAGATTGCATCTGATTCTTCAGTAAATTACACAGTGTATTATGAAATCAGTGGACAGGGTGTTACTACAGATCCTGTGGGCCTATTTATTCTAAACAAGAACAACGGCATGCTGAGTGTGACTAGGGCTGTCGACCGTGAGCAGTACCCACAATTCAATGTGAGTCTGAATATTTCAGACCTTATACAGAAAACAGTGCATGAGTTTATGGTCTGGAATATGATTATAACATCAGTACAACTAAATGTGTCTGTTTCTCTTGTTGTAGTTTATCGCTCGTGTGTTTGACCTAAGTGGCAAGGAAACGGATGCATATCTGCCCATCACTGTGAATGTGGAGGATAAGAATGATAACACCCCTGAATTCATAGGAGGTCGATTCTTCACTGTAGAAGAACGGTGCAGGGCAGGTATGAAAGAGAAGGACGAAAGATGCATTTTCAAATATCAAGTTCAGGGCATATATCACACCAAAATCAAAGGACAGAAATAAGAAATTATATTTTAGAAATTATGGAAGGTGTCTTTAAGACCATTAAAATCATTTGGATTTTGATATTATTTTCATAACAATTCTCATCACTATAATAATAAAAAAGATAATTATTTTTATATTCTCAATAATGTAATGCGTAAAAAATATATTATGTTCGGTAGTACTTGTCCATCATGGTAGTATTTGTTTTACAACCTTTAATTTATTGAAAATATCGTTCGTTCGATATTCATACTGTGTAATTTCTTATATTTATATATATATTTGTCTGTTCGATATGCATGTGCGGTTCAACCACACCCTGTTATATGAAGTACATCCATCAGGCAGGCAAACACAGGTTCTTCTCTTCAAGGAGAATTCAAGGCAGAGCTTTTGACAGCTCTTCACGGTATAGGCGCTTTTGGGTGAAATAAGCAAGTTTTATGTAGATGCACTTGATTGTTTTCATTCCTCTTCTACTCTACTTTCAGGGATTGGATTTTGAAAAAACTCCACTGGTGAAGCTGGAAATAACTGCCCGTAATGAGGTTCCACTGGTTGGGCCTGACACTAAATGGCTCTCTGTGCCACTCGAGCTCAGTGTGGGAGATGAAGATGAAGGACCAGAGTTCAACCCTGGCATTCTATATCTCAAAGTCAAGGAGAATGTTGCCAATGGAACCGTCATTGGAACCTATAAAGCTCTGGATCCAGAAAATAAGAACAGTGATGGAATGAAGTATGTTCTTTTATGATGTTTGGTTTATTTGAGGTTAACTAAATAATTATCTTTAAAGCACCACCTTACACATTCAGGCGGTCTTTGGTCTTCTGTTCTGTTATGCTCTGACTAGCTGTTTTTGAAGACAAGCAAGAACATGTCTTATGTAAATACGTCCAAAGAATTTAATAAGAAAATCATTTTAATTATACAGGACTTTAAGAGTGATTAAAAAAAGCTTTCCTGTAACCTCTCTAGATTTTTTTTTTATTGCATCTAGTGTCTCTATATATGACATTAGAGTGTATTATGGTAATGTAATTGTACATGATAAACCTTTATACTGTATTTTAAATGCACTTTCTCACTTTTCTATTTTATTTATGTGTAAGGTACTATAAGATGACTGACCCAGGCAACTGGATCACTGTGGTGGAGAACACTGGAGAACTGAAAACAGCCAATACTATAGATCGAGAATCACCTTTGGTCCACAAGGATATGTACAACATAACCATCAGAGCTGTGGATGAGAGTGAGTCTGGACTTGATGTCACACACTTGACAACATAATTAGATTAAACTTGATCTCTTAACTTAATAATCTGTGGACATTCAGCACAACAACACTGAAACGTTGGTGTGTTTCTGAGTACACACTGTGTGTGTGTGTGTGTGTGTGTGTGTGTGTG